GCTTTTAATTGTGTATCAGTCTAACGTTGAATATTATTTATGATTTTAAGTTTATACACAAATGCCAAAATACTATAATTAAAAATCCCTCTTTTGACTCCACCTAATGTAACTCTAGATAACAGCATGGGGCCAAAATAGGGGTTTGTAATTTGAGTAAATAATGTCTATATTATCTGCAGCCTTGTTTCCTTACTTTTTATCATTTGCGGGTTTTTAAATTTCCGATTTTTTATTTTTATTGTAAACTTTATAAATCTCATTTTTGCGGTATAGTGTACGTGATTCCCAAACGTTAGTGATTCAAGCAGAAAAGAATAGTAGCGCAATAAAGACTTCTATTTCGTGGAAGAAATGAGTCTGATGTATCGTTGTCTTTTTATTTCTGTTCAGAAACAAAATTATCTCTCATCGAAATATTTTTAATATATACATATCTATCGGAACTTACAACGTAGTTTCTTTCAGCTGCTAATGGTCTCGGATAATATTATGTAGTGTGATGACATTCCAAGACAGTCGTGGGATTCGTTAATAAAAGTTTTTCTTTAAGTCTTCTTAAACCAGATAGCACAATGTAACAATGGCGTTACTTCTGACATACAATGGACACCAGAAGTCAACGAACCGTAATGATTGGTATTATTCAACCTGATTCCTTTGGTGCCTCTGGCTACTCTCTAACCCGGAAGCTATTTCCTTCGAGCCATGTTCTTTCGACCAAATATAGCAAACACCAGTGTTTATGCAGTTAATAGGATTTTTTCACTGGAGTACGGTTATGAAACAGATTAGAAATGCATGTTTGTACGTGACTAGGTTTTCGTTATACGCACTTCATAATCTTATATGAATTTTTTTAGAAGGTCATTCAACACATACGAAATTTTACAAGATAGTCAATCCTATTATGTTGATTCAGCTTTTTTAATGTATACGTGTATAAACTTATTTAATAATGTAAAGTGATATACAATTAAAATGTGTAACTTCAGTGAATATCAGTTAGTTGAAAAGGTAATATATTTGTCTTGAAATCGTATTAATTTACCCTAACAGTATTATTATCAGAGTCCATGAGCAGTTGTGGGTAATGTTTTTGTTGGGTTTATGTTGAATGTACGTGAATCTCAATCAATAATGTTGTTGGTTATGTCATCGAATTTATTCGTACATTTTTGGGTGGCTTTTGAAGGGGATGCGTTTCAAAATTTGATCATTTAGTTTCATTGTTTGAACGTGTAACATCTGTTGATTTTAAGTGATTTCGTGGGTTTTCAAGAGGGTGGTTTTGGTTAACAATAATGTATTTAGTAGCTTTACAATCATAACTCTGTGTTAACGACTGGAATCATAAAGATGCTTGTCAAAGAATGTTGTACTGTTTTATGTAAACCCAAACATTATTTTACTTTTTGGAAATTGTTTTAAACAACATTATGTCCACAATAAATAAAGTTCAATCTACACGTGTGTTATTGGGTTTTACTAGCTTCGGAGAATTTCACTCCTCGTCAGTAACCCTGAACACAAGTTAACCAAAGAGAGATAAGCTGGACCTGTATCATAGTGAAAAGAATCAAACATACTGTTGGTGTGAACGTGCTTCATAGTCATTATGAATAGTGGCCAATGACACTTTTTCGTCACTTCACGTATCCAGTGTATAGGTTTTTCTCGTAGTGACCACAAAGCACGTTCATATCAACAGTATGTTTGAACACTATATCCAAAAATACAATTTATTTATTTTAAATGTTTCCGTTGAAATGTACCATTCAATTTGTACGTTGTAATGGCATTACTTCGTGAGGTATACGTTGAACAGGATATTTAACAGTTGTTTTTAGCATAGTATTTGTTGGCGTGGTTGTAAGGACTTCTAAATATGTGTATGGATATCTCGACCCATATAAGATATTAAACCTTTTTTTTACTTGATAATTCCTGGTGATTAACGATCCGTGTTTTATCTGCAATACGTGATTTAAAGCTCCTTTTATTATAATCCACATTTATGGTCAAAACAAGTTATTTATGTGGCCATATTTTTGGTATATTTTTGTGTTTGGTTCTTTATCGCAGTACAACGTTCAGATTTCTTCCATTTTCTAAAGACAAGGAAAGAAAATTACGGTTCAGTTAGCGATGACTTGCATAAATTACTTTTAAATACTATTAAGCGACATATATAATTGGTTTTGATTAAATAATATATCATTCAAGAAATTTGTGATACAATGTTATTACGTTATATTGTGATAAGCAGTGCCGAATTTAGAGGAGGTATATACTTGTCTGTAGTTAAGCACAAAGCTACACAATGGGCTACTTGTGCTGTGCCCACCACGGGTATCGAAACACAGTTTTAGCATTATAAGTCAGCGGACTTACAATGTGGGGTGAGAGGTGCAACCCATGAAATTGCGTGTGGGTCTCAAAGGGACTAAATCCGGCCCTATTGATAAGTGTCTGGTAACGTTACCACAATCAAAATTAACTTTTATTTTACTTCTCTAACATTTTTCGACAAACTGTATTATTATCATAAATGGCATGGGAACAGAGTCTTTACAGCTACTGTCTTAAGCATAGTGATCGATTAATAATTTTTACTATAAACCGAAATACCACAACTGTTGTTCTAAACAGTGTAACAAAAACGTAATGGCATTAAAGCATTGATTTTTCACTGTTCAATACTGTAGCAAACTGTAGTAAACGTTTGTCAACAGTTTTCGGTATTGCTGTAACAACGTATGCAGTTAAATGGGAAAGCCAAATATTTGTATTTGATCATTCGTAATCCACTTTATAAGTGGAAAACAATGATGAAAAGGTATGACTGTGAGAAAATATAAGTCACAGCTTTATAATTTCATCGTTTTCTGAATTTGATTAATTAGATAATTTTTTGTAATTTACTGTCTCTGTACAATAGTAGTTATTTTTTACCGCTTAAAACTCATAATTAACATTAACATTATTATTAGGACTAATATATTATAAAAAAGATATATACAGTTAAACGCATAGGCGACAAAAATATCGAAATTAAATAATAAGTTAAACAATGGCCAACTTTTTTATATTGTTAAGAGGATGACGTTTCGAGTTAGCGCTTTTCGTCAGACCGTACAGCTTACAATCAAGCTTTAAGGTTGTAAGCTATACGATCTGATGAAGAGCGCTAGCTCGAAACGTCATCCTCTTAGAATAAAAAAAAAAAAATCCTGGCAATTGTTTAACTTATTCTTTAATTTCACATTTTCAAACTACATTGTCGTCGGCAATGGATATGGCAAATGTAGTGTGGTTGAAATACTATTATTGTTATTATTATACATTTTCCTAATTTTTGAAAATCTATAAGGTACAAGATTAAGAATGTAATGGTTATATCAAGTAGTAACACAAGGTCCGTATATGATGTTTACGCCTTATGTTACTACAAGATTAAGAATGTAATGGTTATATCAAGTAGTAACACAAGGTCCGTATATGATGTTTACGCCTTATGTTACTATAAGATTAAGAATGTAATGGTTATATCAAGTAGTAACATAAGGTCCGTATATGGTGTATACGCCTTATGTTACTACAAGATTAAGAATGTAATGGTTATATCAAGTAGTAACATAAGGTCTGTATATGGTGTTTACGCTTTATGTTACTACAAGATTAAGAATGTAATGGTTATATCAAGTAGTAACATACGGTCCGTATATGGTGTATACGCCTTATGTTAATACAAGATTAAGAATGTAATGGTTATATCAAGTATTAAAATAAGGTCCGTATATGGTGTTTACGCCTTTTACAAGCCGGCGAAGAATGATTACAATTATACTTGTTATACTCAGAGGCGTCACTAGGCACTGGGGTCCGTGCCCCAGTTCTGTTTCATAGTGCCCCGAATCCCCAGTTGGTGTGTTGAGAAATCAGAATAGAAAACCATAATCGATATCGTACTGAAACGCTGAAAATTCCTGCACCTACGAGCCCGAGCCCCGAAACTTTCAAACAGCTAGCGACGCTTCTGGTCATAATACATTAGTATTAGGCCTATGACGATTTTAAACACTACCTTCTTAAACTGTAATCGTTTTTCACCGGCTTGTAAAAGACGTTCAGACCACTCTTGTGTTTGTTGTATCCCAATCAGCCGAATGAGCGAAACGCGTCGTTGGCAATGGATGTCACAAATATAGTGTGGTTGGAATATTATTATTATATATTACTAATTCTTGAAATTCATAAGGGACTAGATTAAGAACGTAATGTTTAAAAATGTCATAGTCCTAAAAACTTCTAATACTAATTCTTATGGCAAGTATAATTATAAAGACCGTATAATTTGTTATAAGTAAAAGTAACACACATTTGATAATGATTATAACGTTAACGAGTTAGTAAATTTCTTATTATAATTATAATAATGATTTAAAATCGTATGAGCCAATAAAGCTTCAATAAAGTTGAGATGGAGAAAGTCGTATTTAAATTTATTTTTGTAAATCGGGTGTTTGGAAATTGCTTATAAACAAACGTATTAAGACTTGTGAAGGTATTTTAAGGGAATAGATGGATACAAATTTCATTGTTTTAATATAGGTGTTAAAGGAGATGATGACACAGATTCAAGATCTCAGGTAAGTGAGAGAAGATTCATTAGTTCGTTTTAATTTACTATATTTTTGGGACATACTTTCGGAGTTGGAAAAACGTTTTTCTTCTTGTTATATGAACTTGTTGCGGAATACGTCTACGTAAGTAGGTTTGGCTGTTTTATTGTGATGATAGTATTGTTCATGTTTTACATTGGTAAGTTTAAAGTAAGTAGGTTTGGCTGTTTTACTTATGTGGATAGTATTGTTCAAGTTTGACATTTATAAGTTTAAAGTAAGTAGGTTTGGCTGTTTTATTGTGTTGATAGTATTGTTCAAGTTTGACATTTGTAAGTTTAAAGTGGTGGTATATTTTTTTTAAGAAAAAATAATATTTACCCAATAGTTGAGTTATAGCATATGTACAATTAGGCGTGTATTTTACAGTACAAGATATGCTTTTATTGTTTTACTTGTATTCTGTTTGCGTTACTATCAACGTTAACGTAATATGCAACCTTTCTAAAGTGACGATATTTCTTCAAAAAATATTAGTTTCTAAATATTTATAAATACGGTCTACAAGGGATGGAAACTATGTTAGTGTAAATAAAGTATCCACGGGGAATGGGTAGTTTTGAAGAAGACGAGTGGTTTCATGTGAAGTATCGTCAAGGGTTGGTCAGTTTAGGAACTTGTACGTTATTAGTTGTAAACATAAATTAGGTGGTTTTGTAAAGTGATTAGTTTTAAGTATGTGTAAGAAATATTTCAATAAGTGCAGGAATCTGAAGATTCTTTGCCTTCTCTCCTTTAAGTTAAACTTTGAAATAAGTAAATATATTGAGAGAGAATCTGGAAGAAATGTAACTTTTGTTACATGTTTTAATCATTTAGTTTATTCTCGAAATAAAGTTATGTTAACTTGCTTGATTTGGTAATATTAAACAGCGTTCGGTCAAAGGGTCATTTGAAATGTTTCTTTCTCAATGCACTTCGCTAAATTATGGCATATTATAACAATAAAAGTTTAATTTGTTGCAACGAATTAACTAATCGTTTACCAACGCGTCTTAAAAATTGCCACAGTATGATAAGTGGTAATAATTGAAATATGATTAAAACTGAACGAATGTGATTTGTCGAGAGCTGATAGCTTTGAATTGTTTAACTCCACTGTAGTTCTAGAATCCAAAACCTAAGACAACTACCGCCCCCACACCTGCAAGTAGTTATTGTGATTAATATCCGTATCTTATTTATCATGCTGTAGCTATTACACGAACGCACAGAGGTACTAGTAATTACAAATACGTGAAATACGTCTGTAAGACGTGCTGGGTTGTGCACGGACTGAGTTTCCGAAGGCCGACCGTAGCGCTGGGTCACGTAGTAAATTTTTCTCTCCTTCTGTTGGTGAACTATGAAGTAGGAGGAGAGCCGGAACAAAATTAACGAGAGAGAGAAAGAATGGGAAATATTGTCCATTTAAAACATTGCTTTTGAATTTATTCACTTATTTACGACTGTTACAAATCTCATGATGTGTACTGAAGTGTTACAATTCGATAACTACAATTTAGACCTATTACCAAGAGTATACAACTTAAAACTAAGAAAGAATGATGCGTGAATTACATATGAATATTTTCTGTTTAGATATCATTTTGTTACAAATAAATGTGTTTCAGTCTGTATATTACGTGATATATACATTAAGGCTTCATATCACTGATAATAACTCAAATGTATTGCATAAAAAAACTAGGTAAATGTGTAGATTTGGTTTATTGGATACATTTTACCATTATGGATACTTTACAGTCAGTTAAGCTAGAAAAAGTAGAACTGACTTCTTACCTTGGTAAGTGGTTATCAAGGTAGTTTCAGAAACGTCCAAATTGTCAGTTTTATCTAAGATTCCGTTTATGAAGTTATCACTGTGAGAAATGCAAGTGGCTATCGTTTGTTAAGAGGGCACATTTACCATGTGAACTTATAGTTCAAGCGCGCTAATTTGGCCCTCGTTATTTTTGTTTTGGGCCATACATGGGTTTCTTCTGTTTAGAGGGAAACCAAAAGCACCGCCTACTATTTTTAATTTTACTCTTTCGAAATTAAAATAATCTTAGGGTCTAAAAAAATCATTAATCTCCGTTTATCATATATCTCCCTAAACAGTTAAAATGATGTTTTGTATAAGTGTACAATAATAATAATAATCACATAACGTGAAAACTCTGCATTAGGCATCCAAACCTACTACTACAGCTTTGTTATATTAGTATTATATGTTCATAATAAACTATTTAGCTTAGTAAGTTTCATCAGTTGTTTTTTACCACTGTTCCACTAGTTTTTGGTGGGCCAGCGGTAAGCATACGGACTTACAACACTACAATCCGGAGGTTCGCTATCCTGCGATGTATAGAGCACAGAAGAAAGCCAATCATATGGCTTTTCGTTGAAAAATATATAAAACTGTATCTATAAGCTGAATAAAAACTTTCTGGGTACCACTATGCTGAATAGTTACGTTCTGGGTACCACTATGCTGAATAGTTACGTTCTGGGTACCACTAAGCTTAATAGTTACGTTCTGGGTACCACTAAGCTTAATAGTTACGTTCTGGGTACCACTATGCTGAATAGTTACGTTCTGGGTACCACTATGCTTAATAGTTACGTTCTGGGTACCACTAAGCTGAATAGTTACGTTCTGGGGTACCACTATGCTGAATAGTTACGTTCTGGGTACCACTGTACTGAATAGTTACGTTCTGGGTACCACTATGCTGAATAGTTACGTTCTGGGTACCACTAAGCTTAATAGTTACGTTCTGGGTACCACTATGCTGAATAGTTACGTTCTGGGTACCACTATGCTGAATAGTTACGTTCTGGGTACCACTGTACTGAATAGTTACGTTCTGGGTACCACTGTACTGAATAGTTACGTTCTGGGTACCACTATGCTGAATAGTTACGTTGCTCTAGTTTGTTCATTTGCTAGTGTTACTCATTAGAGGAAAATTTGATTTAAAGTTGTCATTTTGATTTTGCCGAAGCGTGTAGCTTTGTTTGTTGTTAAGCGCAAAGCTACGCAATAGGCCATCTGTATTCTTTCTACTGCGAGTATCGAATCCCGATTTTTAGCCCTTGAACATACCGCTGAGCCACCGGAAATGGGTTGGGGTGTGACTTTAGTTTAAGCGGACTTAGCACAGTGATTTTAAGTCTGTATCTGTTGTAGAACGTTATCATACATATTTTTGAGATTTAGACTTTTCCTAATCTCAAAATGTGTTTGCTCAGTAGAGTAACGGTTTTGCTGTAACATCATAGTAAGGCAAGATAATTTGAATCGTTTTTACTCGTGAATGCACTAGTATAGGATTTCAATAAGAAGAGCACGTAATTGAACTTTACTTACATATAGTCTGTATTAGGAGCGTCATTTCACAAAAGGCTTGAGGAGGGAGGGATTATTCTGACCTCGTGTGGGCCCCCTTCAACAAAAACGGCACTCCTGGTCTATATACCGTGGCGACTAGGTATTTTGCTTAGTATGAAAGGTTCTCAGTAGGGATTGATTAAAAATACAGTTGGAACATTGTTCATGTAAGTTGTTTAGTGTGTTTCAAATGTTGTGTTTGTAACGCCTAAACTAACAAAACATGACATCTCTAAGGATAACAGATATGATGCAAAATCGCCATTGTTCGTGAGTTCTGAAAAGTGTTTGGTACGTGCTTGCTGAGTGTTTTGGTTCTTGTGTAGTTGCTAGCTTTTAACAAAATATTGTATACAAGTTGATTTATCACTAAATTATTTATGTCGAGCTTGTAAGCTGAAGTCTCGTCGATTTAAAAAGCCTTCCTTTTTTTTCGCCACTTGGAGTTAAAACTGTATTTACAAAAGTTTCTCTCCTATTCAATTAATTGAAACATTGAATTCTTTTTAAGCACGAGGCAACCTCGTGTTTATAAATTCTACTTCATAACTTCGAACTTTTATAAATCTTGAAAATTTTTTAGCTTATTTCTTGCGCTCCTCACCCTATGCCAGTCACGACTGAGCAGTTTCTCACTAGACCTTTCACGATGTAATATGGTTAGGAAAATCTGGGTTTGGGAGTGGTTTCCTGGTTTGGATCATAGGCGGCGCCACTGCGTGAGGCGCGTGACTCGCACAACACTGTCAACTACGTGTTGAAATACTGTGTCGTGCACTGTTTATAGTTTTGTAGATAAACTAGAATAGAGACATGAGTTGTTTATAATTATCAATTAATCATTTAAACGTTTAACATTTTTTGGCATGTAGCTTTTAACTGGTTTTACCACATTTGCACAGTAAATGTATAAGAAGTCTTGGATTCTGTGTTAGTCTCTATTCAATTTCAAGAAACCTAACTTATATTCAGCTGGTAACAATTACAGTAGAAAGGAGATAAAACTTTCCTTGAGAAGAAGTTTAGAGAAATATGACCCAGTGTGATTTAATCACACCATTCAGTTTTTTTTTTTTTTGCATTGACAACAGTATTATTCTAACAAGAAAAACAGGAATTTTCTGTTTTATATTCAGCTGTCATGCACTCTGTTCAATTGTACCTTTGTGTTTAGTATTTTCATGCATACCTTTGGTCATGTAATCGCTTAGGAAATATATGTAACCACATTTAACATGTATTTAGAATATTGTTATACATTAAAACAGCTCACTGGTGAACATAGCATGCTCATTGGTTGTGAATATTTGAAGAAGGTAAAGAGACATTGTTCGTTGACTGTATATGGAGGCAGTCATACCCTTAATATGTAATTTCCTTCAAAACACAAGACTGGTTTGAGTGATTTAAGTTTGTAACTATTTGATACACTGTTATTAAATGTCTTATTTTTCAAATATCATTAAACCCCACAACAAGACTATTAATTCTAATTTAAATAATGTCAGAAGATACAGATCATTAGGTTTTTAAGTTAAATAAAAGTTTTGAGCTATATTATTTTGTAATTAACTAGGCTTTAAATCACTTAGTTGTTTTATCAGGCAGTGTTATTCATATTTGTTGTTATGAAAAGCAAAGTTACATGATAATTAGAAATATACTTGCTGACTGTATTGTTGTAAAAAGTAATAGTTAAAGGATACAGAAAGTTAGGACATCCACAACAAGTACTTTAAAATGTTCAAGTTGTTAGTGTCATATGTATGTTTACCCTTAGAATAATTTAACTTAGCCACTGTTTGATACATTTTGTCATTTTCGTTTATTGGAACCTTCCATCCTTGAAAGAATATTAAAATCAGCTTTCCTTTGGTCATGGTTTCCAAAAGAAACATTATGTTGTATTCCCTGTTTTTAAAGTACGTTTTTAAAATCAATTCACTGTAGCTAGTAGCTTTATTAGCAACAGTGGACAGTGGTCAAGTGATTTTAGATTTATGTTATGCTTATTTTAAACATGTTACTTCATACAATACCTCTTGCTATCTTCTTTTTTGTGCTACTTGTACATCTGGGGTTGTTTATTTGCTTCCAGCATTCAGAGACCAGCGATGCAGAGTCAGTGAGTATGAATATTAGGTTTAATCTTAATAGTTTTTCTCAGTTATAATTTAGACAGTATCTTATTTTTAAATATATTTTGTGAGTTTATGTATATTTTTTCATCTGGATGCTTATATCCAATAGTACCAATAATTTTGTCTTTTAAGTTTAACAGAAGGTTAATATTAAGTGTGCGACTGTCTCACAGATGTTTTTAGTAAAACAATTTACTGTTGATATAGTCAAGTTATTAATTTGTACATGACTAGTACACTACTAATCCATACTACCACAATCCACCTGTTATGTACATTCTGCCTTTTATTGTCTATTAAAATAGCCACGTAATTTTGGATGAGAAGACTTTACAATTTATGTGAACTTTATAGCCCTAGCTAATCAAGTGCTGTTTAGTAGGTTGTCTGCATGAAATTCCATATTTATAGCACCATACAATTTGATAGATGGGAAGGTACAGTATTAGTGTACACACACACACAGAAAGCATATGTATGTATATATATATATATATATATATATATATAGACACAATTTCTAAATGGGAGTTTGGACTATAGTCACCATTAAGTCATTCTGAAATGTTTTCTTA